CTGCCCTGACCAGGGATTGAATCTGCAACCTTGGCAGGTCAGGACGATGCTCTAACCAACTGAGCTATCTGGCCAGGCAACTGTGGACTCTTATCCCCTTGTGAACAGAGGTGGCCATTGCTGCATGTTACTGCATGTTCTGTGTAGTTGTGGAGTTGAGAGAGAATTACACAGGCAGGCACGCATTCCCCGATTGCTCCTCGCCCTGCTGACATTTCTCTCATGTATCGGGGGTGTAGTACTTCAGGTCTCCTCCACCGCCCACCTTGCTGTGGTCTTCAGAACACCAGATGATCTTCCTGACATGGCTGGGTTTGCCCATTTTCCGGTAAAGGCAATATGTGGACAGTGTTTGCTTCTTGTCATTCAATACCAAGGTTCTTTGGTATGACTCAGAGCCAGGTGCCAGGGTAATGGTGTATGGGGAGAGATGCCAGGCTTTAAAATGATTGAGCTGCAGTGTGCTCGCTGCTGGAAGAGAATTTGATGTTCTTGCTGTAGGTGGCTTTTCTGTGCTTGGCCAGATAGATTTTTCAGGCCAGTGACAGATGACTTGAACTCAGTGGGTTCTGTCTTTCTGTTGACGCCTGTTCCCTGGGGCAGAAGATGGCCGTAGGAGCCCCCTTACCCCGTGTAGACCCCGCACACCTGCATGTCTGTGGTACCCGGGCTCTGCCATGGGCTGGCTCCCAGCTTGACAGCAAAAAGGCTTCTTCAAAGGTTGGTTATGCAGTCACAGAGGTCTCTCTCAGATCGGCTCAAATCTGAGGATTCAGCCCTTTGAGTTAAGACACTAGGTTAATGGGCATTTATACATGAAGAGGATGTTAGCTGGTCAGTCTGCTCACAGTGGCCCCAGGTCTTTGCTGGGAAAGAGCAGAAGATCCTTGTGAATAAAGAAGCGTGGATTGTGTACACACTGCCTGAGAAAGGGAACACGAGAGTGAGGCCCAGGAAGGCGGGGAGAGTTGGGGAGCGTGGATTGAGGGCCGCAGTAGGGACATGAACGGACTCTGATGATAAATGTCTGTTTTGTGGATTTTTCCTGGAACTGACCAAGTTGTACTTAAAGTACATATGTGTGTTGAATAAAAATAGATTGGCATGGCAGTCTGGGCTTGGGATTTACATTTGTATCAGACGGAGAATTAGGTTTTTGTTGAGAAGCAGGGATGAAAGCAAAGACTGATGAACACAAGTCGGTTTTGCGTCTGGTCTGGGCCTCACCGCAGTCTCAGGGCTGTGCCGCTCCCGCCGGGCAGGAAGGAGACTGGGAATCTGCCCTTAGAATCGGGCGCCCATGCAGATGCGGACTGGGATTAGACCTCTCTCCGCCCTGGGGGTCTCTCTCTCTCTCACTCACGATCTCAGACCCTTTGGTGCTTGAGAGGCCTTGTGGCCAGTCCAGGGGCAGACACCCTTCTGAGAATCCAAGGTCAGCATGGACACCTTCTCTCCAGAAAAACGCCACCATTTTTATACGAAATATCAAGGGTGGTGGTAGATATCTTAAGGAGTGTCCACAGAGCCCAGATTAAGAACCCTTGTTTCGGGGGCACAGGTCATTGTTAAGCTACTGAGGAGTTGTCCCCAAACCCCAGCCTCCACGTGGCTTTCTGCTGTTACTGGCTTTGCTTGTCCTTACCCCTGTTTGCCAACAGGCATGATGAGTCACTTGATTTTTGTAGCGCCAGATGCCCCGAGGTGGTCACGTGGTTAGAAATATTGAGTCATAATTTTTGTTTTTATTAAAAACCTCATTCCACAGCCTGTTTCTCTTTAAAACACATTTCCATTCCGTTTTATCTTCAAGTTTGTGTACATTTCTGTGGCTGGGCTGGCTCATTTGCAAAAATCCCTGGGGGATGGGGGATTTAAAGATTCTGCTTCGGTCTTAGGAACTTTCTCAGCATTAGAAAACCCTTTTCTCATTTTCCATTTTCTTCTGAGGTGGAGACACACTGATCTGCCGCCTTTGATCACCTGGAGACAGTTGTCATTGCTTTACAAGCAGAAATCCGCAGGGACCTGAGGGTGTGGGTGTGCACGGGTCCCCGGGACAGAAGCAGGACCCTGGGAGCCCAGGAGGGGATGGGCATGCGGGCCTGAGTATGGAGAGGAGACTGAGAGCCAGTGACTGTTAGCGCCGTTTCGGAGTTTACGTCAGAGTGGCAGACTCAACAAACCCTTGACCCCCCAAAAGAAGAAGGCTGCCTGCGGACCCTGCGTGTCTTGTACTGCCTGCTGACGGGTGCTTTGTGGGCAGTGACGTATTTGTGTTTACCTTGCCAACTGATACCTCGCACACTGAGGTCACCTGTTAAAGGGTCCCACCATTCTATCCACTTCATGTTTGGACCCAAAACAGAGGTGGCCTCACCTCTCTGCAGGTGGACCGAGGGTGTGGGTGGAACTGCGGGTGTCCTCCATGATGTCCACTCACAGCGTGATGAAGGAAACCCACTTTAAAAAACAAAGCAAAACACACCGGATTATTTCCTTGATGGTGGGTAGGAGAATTTTTTGCAGATGATACTGCAAGAGAAAGAAAGGGTGAGTTCTCGGAAGCTGTGGGAGATAAAAATATTGCTGATCCTTGTTGAAGCTTCAGGCTCAGTTTGCTGAGAATCTGAGCCAGCGAGGCGGGTGTGTGTCGGGCCCCCCATCGCCTTTCCTCCCTTGGCAGGACTGCAGGGCACTCTGCACACAAGTCGCCTGGAGGCAGCCGACCTCTGGGGCCGGTGTACCATCCTTCATTCTCTCCGCTGGAGCCAGTGTCTCTGAGTCACATCAGACACAGAGGAAAGGTGCTGTCGACTGAAGTGGGAAGAGCTGGAGAGGCCTGCGTGCACATTTCTGTGTGTCCTGTCTCCCGCCGCAGGACCTGGCCGAAGGCTGCCTGGTTACTGGAGTCAGGGACAAGCCAGGTTTAATTGACCCGTGAGGCGGAACAGCAGGAGGGGGTGGTTGGTGGCAGGTGGTCTGCCAACACGTGGCACTGAGTGTGGCAGCGAGTGGGCAGGATGGCAATTTCCCTGTGGGCTGGTTTGGAGGCAAATGGCAAATTGCATTTCAGAAGAAAGAATCACTCTTTGCTTCATGAAGCTTATGACTGCCTCACTTGAGCTATTGATTTGTTTTAGTTTGCAGCCAGGGCTTTGTGAGGACAACTGATTCCCAGCAGAAGTATTGCACTCAACACATAGCTACCTTTCATGTTGAGGCATTGAAGGACCCTGCACGCCACCCCCAAACCCTTGGGTGCATGATGGAGCCTTGGTTTGTTTTCGATTGTCCATTTTCCTCCCAAAGCAAGATACCTGGGCCTTGTGCTCTCTGCCGCCTGCTGCTCTGGGTGGAGGGGAAGTCTGCTGATAAAAGGACCACTTACCAGGGCACCACGGGAATAGCATTAGCAGCAGCAGCAGCAGCAGCACCTTTGCCACTGAAGGGATGTTGTCCGAGTTCTCTGACCTCCTAGCACAGAGTCAGGGCGCCCTCGAGCCCCCAGACATCCCTCCCATTGGTCCTCCCTGAACCGGGATGCAGCCCAGAGCTCTCAGCTAGTTCAGTGTATTCTAGCAAAGCCACTTGCCGATGACGTCAGCTGCCACACGTTGTGATGAGGCCAGAGATCCAGACTCGTGATGGAGGGAACTCAGCTCCTGGGGGAAGGGCCTGTGGGCATCACCGAGGCTTCCCCGGCACTGGGGCTACTCAGAGAAGACTGGAGAGTAATCTGAGAAGTATGTCTATGGACAATGTCTGTTTCATTTCCCGTTTTAAACGTACCTGCCCCCGGGGAGCGGGGAGCACTCTATTTCCTCTCTGCGGGGCTGGTCAGGAATGGCCAGCCACACATATGTTGGGCCCGACATTGACAACCACCTCAATCACTGAGACGGCCTTTATGTATTGCAAGTGCCTTCAAATAAAATGAGATCATTCTGTCTAGTGAGGTTTATAAATCATTAGATTTTGCGTGGCCATGTGGGCAAGTCTGTACCTTCTTATATTTAATTCCTAGGAGCTTCTGCATTTCTGTGTATCGAGTTCACTGTGTCTGACCTGTTGTCGATAATTAGAGACAGTGGCAGGATGTTTTGTGCAGAGTGGTTTTGCTTTTGCATACGAACAACGCCCTAAGAACACAGGCGAGTGTGGAATGGTGGAAGGGGGCCACTCTTTTCATCAGAATTTTGAGGGTACTTAACAGAGTAGCCAGTGTTCTTGAGTCTGGGGTGTTGAAAAGTTTGATGCTGAGTCCTTCATTCCCTTTGCACATTCAGTCTATTAATCTGCCTGTTTTTTGTCAATGGAAAAATGGAGCAAACAATGGAATTGATAGACTTGCATTGAGGGGCGCAGGGTCTCTCAGCCTGCATACATCTCAGCATTCTTATAAAAATGTCAGGTTTTCTTTGCGTTTTCCTTTTTTTCTCTCACCCTAAATTAGCACCAGCTCTGAGCCATTTGTCACACTTTTTATTGTGATACTAATTGATGTGGAACAGTAGAAAGAGTCTCAGTAAATTTTCCCATAAATGAGGTCATTTCAGTCACTCTCTGGGTTATCAGACTTTTACTTAGAAATAGAAAAATTTGTGTTAGGCATGAAGTATCCTGGGTAGTGCAGGTTAACAGGAGAATATTGGTTTGGAAGAACAGTCAAGATTAAGGGGGCTTATCCCTGCATGCGAGAGTTAGTTTCTTAAAGGGCAGGACAGTTTTCTGGTAGGGAAAGTCTTTAAGCCAGAAGGGTCACTAGTGGGGGGTGGGCAAAGGGAAGCTCGGAGGGTACGTACAGCAGCTGAAGATGGCTTGCACGCCCCAAAGGGTCACCCTGTGCCCTGTGGCTGGCAGGACCTATTTACAGGGAAACTCTTCCCGGGGCGGGATTGGGCTCTCTCTCCCCTTGCTAATAAGCATATGGGTTTGCGTGCCATGCTTCTGACTTCTGCTGGACTGGCTGGTGATTTTTGTCGACGATCTTCTTGTAGCCAAACTCAGGCCCTGAACTGGTTTTGTCCGAAGATGAGAAAAGCGACACTGAAGATAAGGAAGAGACCGAGTTGGGCGTCATGGAGGACCAGCGCAGCGTGATTCTTCATCTCATTTCACAGCTCAAACTTGGAATGGATTTGACCAAGGTAGGTTGGCATGTCCCGCTGGGTGTGTGGCCGTCTCTACCTCTAAGCCTTCCCGGGTCCCATTCCTTGCCTTGTGGCGAGACCAGAAAAGCAGAGCAGGGTGGAGCTCAGAATTGCAGTCGACTACGGCTACTCCAGGTGTGATTGGAAAGCAGATGGATGCTCAGCCTCAGGTGTGAGTCTTGCCCGCGCTTCCCTGCAGGAGCTGCGACTCTGTGAGGGCAGGGAGAGCGTTGGCAAAAGGGTATGAGGTGATAAGGGAGATTCAGGATAGGGTATTTCTGCTTCCAGCTGTGTCCTAGAGAAGGGCAAGGTGACCTGCAGAGGTGGGTAAGGCACGCTGGCCGCAGAGGAAAAACAGGAGGAAGGAAAACAGTGGAACCAGGAGTGAGGCTGCCGCACTGTCACTAGCTCTCACAGCTGGTCCCCGAAAGGCACCCTGGATGGGGACCCAGATCTCCGCATCCACTTGTAAAGAAACAAACCCGCTGGTTGGTGCACGTGCAGCCAGGATTCTCCCCGGGAACCTCCTCCAGCGTCCTACCCTCGGGTGGCAAGCTGATGGCCCCCAGAGGCCTGCCCTCCCTGCAGGTCTGTGGCTTCCTGGGGAGGCCAGCAGGAAAAGCAGTCGAGTGTGTGGCTGAGAGCTGGAATGGTGTCATCAGGGGTGTGGTGGGTGCCTGGACTTTGCTGCGCGGGCCACCTGTGTTCCGTGTCCAGCCTTGGTTACTCCCAAAGGGGCAGAGTGAGAACCAGAGGCTGTGTGTAGAGACCGGGCTCAGTGCTGATGTCGTGGGAGGCGCGCCCTCAGTCTTGTCCTTATGGAGCGCTGTGTCGTGTGGTGGACGGCGTGTGGTGGAGAGGAGCAGCCCCGGGGGCTGGAGAGACACGGCCCGTGGGGAGGGTGTGCTGTGGATGGAAGTTCTAGGTACTGAAGGTCGGCTGGGAAAATGTGGGCATCCTTGAAATGGACAGAGCCACCGAAGGCACAACCTGCAGAAGCCGCCATGAGGGGAGGTGGCTTGTTTGGCTGCAGTGAAGGTTGTGGATTCCCCAGGTTCACGTCAGGCTGGACTGGAGGCCAGAGAAGAGGGAGGGAGGTGGATTGGAGAGATTCTTCGAAGGGGAAGATGACGACATCGTGACTGAGGAGACAGGAGTTGGGAGTCCCAAGGAGGGCAGAAAACCCCTTTTTTCTTTGGAATTTTTTTTTTTTTATGTATTTGGAGATGAGTGTGTCGTATTCTGGGAGACTGCACCCCTTTAAACAAAACCTGTGGGCCCACGCCGAGGGGCTGACGCAGGAAGCCCCCCCAGCTTTGCCATCCCCCGCCCCGTGCATGCGTCGGTCTGCCCAGCTCTGCACACCCGGCCGTGCGGCTGGCCCTGCGGTATGTCCCCCGTCCACACTCTGGTCTCCGGGCTGTATGACGCCCGTCTCTCTTGCTGGAGGATTCGTTTCAAATGCTTGCCTTTTTAAAAGCCACCTCTTCTTTATTTTTGTGGATTGTGGAGCCAGTTACGATGGAGCTTAAGATCCAGCAGATGGAATATGGGTACTAGCACGATGTAAAATCATAGTTTTAAACTGTGGGTCATAACCCATTTAGTAGATTGTAAAACCAATTGTAGTGGGTTATCATTTCTAAAGATTGAAATAAAATATAGTAGAAAATAACACGTGAAACTTTTAGTTCTGTTGATACATGAGTAACTGGACTACAATATAAAATGAATTATCATGGATCATATTAAAAAATATTTATAGCCCTGGCCAGGGGGTGGTGGATGGCTCAGTCAGTTGGAGCACTATCCCATACCCCAGAGGTTGCAGGATTGATTCCCAGTCAGGGCACATACCTTGGTTGTTGTGGGTTTGGGGTGCATAGCAGAGGCGACCAATTGATGTTTCTCTCTCACATTGATGTCTCTCTGTCTCCCAAATCAATAATGAAAAACACATGGGAAACACTGGTGTGGACTCATGAATGATGTAGGAGAGAGACTCTCAGAGCCACTGAAGTTGTCCAGGTCAGATGTGGAGAAGCAGTGCGATACTGCGGGGACTGCGTTACGACAGGCCGACTGTCCCAGAGGCAGCATGACAGGGCTCTCTGGCTTTAAGGAAATCAGAACTGTGCATCTCACTGTTTTATTAGGATCTGGTTGCTTTGCATTTCCGGAGCCAGGGTCTATTTCTATAAAAGCAGATGTTGGGTTTCTTCAACACTCAGCTGGTCATGTGAAGGAAAAACTTTGTCTAGTCCACAGTTTATTAACTTATTTATTTACTGGGGAGAAGCTGCTACTCAAACACCAAGCAGGAACTTGATAAGGAAGCGGTAGACCTTTTATTGCACATAAGGTTTATGGGCTTTTGTTGCCCCGTGTCAGAAAAAGGTCGATGAAATTCTGCCTTGCTGTCTTTCCTCTCCTTGGCTCTTGCCCAGGCCATTCAGTTAAGCACGGGCTACGTTGGCAGTTGCAGACCTTAGCCGGAATGAAGTGTCTGCTGAGCGGGTACCCTAGAGATAGAATAATGTTCTCTGATTGAAGGATGAAGCTCTGGTGTCTGTTTATGAGGCAGGTGTGCTGCCCGTCTTTGGAGCATGCGCGGCAGTGGGAACAGACTCAGAAGAAGAGGAAGTGGAGGTGGGAAGTTCAATGAAGAGCAGTAGATCCCGGCAGGGAGGGTGGGAGGTGATGGGGGGGGTGCGGCCTCTCAGACCCGGCAGGGCAGGCTTCTCCCAGGTGACCTTGTGCCAGAGGCCAGGCTCAGAGGAGGGAGTCAGCCTTGTGAGTGTCTAGTGGAAGTGTGATCTGTGCCAAGGGGACAGCTGTGAAAAGGCCTGAGATGGCCCTTGTTTGGCATTCTGGGCAGACGGCCCAGTGGGGCTGGATCAGAGGGAACTGGTCATGTTTTCTTGGCCTTCTTGTGATGTAGGGGACGTCTTGAGCATACAGATTTTTTACCCTTTGATTGCATTATTTTATTAGACAAACCTTCCAGGGTCCCTCACAGTATGCAAGGATGGACATTGCTGTGCTCAAGCTCAGCAATGAACTTACAAGGGGAATTTCTTACCAGGGGAAATTTGAATGAAAAGAGTCAGAAGGTCCAGGGGTGTTAACTACCTCCCCCCATAACCCCCAGGCAGAACCGTGGATGTTCAGGGTCTTCCATCTTTCAGGTATTGCTCCCACTTCCTTTCCCTTCACCTCTTCTCTCCAAATCTTGTTTTTAATATGCTGTCAAACAAAGCCCACTACCTCTTCTGAAATGTTTGCCTTTTAACAGAGGACACAGTAGTGACCTGGCTTCCCTAAGCTTGTGTGTATACATCTGGGCCACCAGGGGGCAGTGTGTGTGCCATTTCTGTGCTCCTTTCCTGTATGATTGGCACGATCTCATCAATCCTGTTCTTCCCCAAAGAGTTCCAGTGAGTGAAGGTGGGTCTTCAGGCCCCCTGGGGGCAGTGAGGGGTCCAGCATGGGCCTTGACCAAGCAGAATCTGTTCATGTGAAAATGAAAAACCTTTCTGGGCTTTAGTGTTCTCATCTGTAAGATGGAATGGTCATACCTGCTCACAGATTATCAAGAAGAGTGAACAGGATGATGTGTACCCTGCTCTGATGTGTGGCTCGTTTGGGCGTTGTCCTGTAAAGCAAAGGGCCACTGGTTCGATTCCCCAGTCAGGGCACATGCCTGGGTTCTGGGTTCAGTCCCTGGTCAGGGCACGTATGAGGCAACCAAATTGATGTTTCTCTCTTGCATCGATGTGTCTCTTCTTCTCTTTCTCCTTTCCTTCCCCTCTCTCTAAAAATAAATTTTAAAAATCTTTAAACAACAACAACAGAAAAAAAAAATGTATATCCCCAAATACTGTGTCGGGCTGGAATTCTGTAAAAGGTTTACATGGGAAACATGTCATGCATTCTTTTTTTTTTTTTTTTTAAGATTTTATTTATTTATCTTTAGAGGGGAAGGGAAGGAGAGAGGGTGAGAAACATCAATGTGTGGTTGCCTTTTGTGCGTCCCCTGCTGGGAACTGGCCTGCAGGGAACCGGCCTGCAACCCAGGCATGTGCCCTGACTGGGAATTGAACCGCCATCCTTTGATTCGCAGACCCATGCTCAATCCACTGAGCTACACCAGCCAGGGCCATGTCATGCATTCTTACAATACTTTTCTTGTTTATATAATTATGTCTCTGTATTCTCAAATAACCAATTATTTACAGAAGCATCAGAGGTGGTCCCAGAGGCTGCTCTAGTCATTAGGAGGCTTGTTTTTAGTCTTCCGCTTTGTCACTGAAATACTGTGTGGCAGGCTTGTGTCTGATTTTTGCTGTCCTTCTTTTCCCCTGGTTTCTGGATGAGGGTGCCCATCCCTGATGATAAACGCCACCAGCAGAGAGCGAGTGAGGGAGCCTTTACTATGTGCTAGGTAGGCCCTGGGCTAATTGTATGCTCTCATTTAGTACTCACACAGAACCTAGGCGGTCGGTACTCTCCTTTCCCCTGTCTTGCCATGGACTGAGTCTTGGGGCGGTGAATGTGCCCACGCACACGTCTCTGGGTTGCCAGGAGATGAACCTGAACTCACAGCTTCTGGTGCACTTCCGCAGGCCGAGGGCTGGGATTCTGAGAGAACACAGGGGTTGATTTCAGCACTGTATCTCTCTCAGGTAGTAAATATCTTATTGGAAAAGATAAAATTTTATTTCAAACTCTTTCCATCCAACGAAAATTTTAATAGATGCCTTTTGTGATGTTCTAAGTACAGGGAAATTGGTTGCCAAGGGATCTGGCACTTGAAGGAGATTTAGTGGAGCTTTGGCAGCATGAATTATCTCCCCTTTCTTTTGAAAGGTTGGGGTTTTCATGTATTTCCCCTGGTTTCCTTAAAGGATTACATAGATCAGTCTTGGCGGGTGGTCTTGGCCTCTCTTCACTTGCATATTGGCACTGGGTAGGTTTGCCAGTCTAAGGGCAGGGTG